TATGTATGTTAATTTATTGTCTTAAAATAAAATTTAGATCACTAAAGAATTTCTTATATTAAAATTACGTAAATAAAAAACATTCATTAGTAGGCTTTAGACATATCTGGAAACTCTTTCTGGAGTGTCCCACAGTAGTCTGTCATCATTTAGATCCTTTATTATCTTTTCGGTAAATTGACCTGAATAACTAGGCTACATTTTCCTTGGTATCATTTTCCATCTCCTTACTATCCAGTTGGATTCATTCTGATTGTGAGGGAAAAACATTTACTGCATTTTCTAGACAGTAGTCGGGATGAGACATCGAAATAACATTTCCATCTCTTAATATAGACTATACAAATTGCTTCATCACTCCTAGCCACATGTGAAGTGGCAATAGACGGACTTTATGTGGAGGCACCAAAATTTCAAGAAAGCTTTTTGAAAGTTGTAATTTAATCATTTATTTTGGTAAATTATTCAAAACAATCACAAAAAAATTTGAACACGTTTGGTTTAAGAAATATTTCGTTCTTAACTGGAATACATACGAAAAGTTCGGGGAGTTGACCAGAAAAAATAAATAAATTCTTTTTATAAAAAAAAAATTCTTTTTGTAAAAAAAAAAAATAAAAATAAAAAATTAGTTGTAATTTTTGTCCTTTTTATCTTCTCTAAGTAATCGCCATTGATTTCAATGCATTTTGTAGGCCTATGGATCCACTTCTGAAAACAATTTTCAAAATCTTGCTTTTTAAGCTTATCAACTTCAGCATTAACCGCATTAATTTTCCCCTCGTTGCTACTTCTTTGAAATTTTTTTAATCTTTAGAAATAACCAGAAATCACAGAAGACTATAATGACTCGTTATTTCAGTAGTTTGAGATGGCGCGTGGTCATGATTTGAAAAGTAGCGCAGATAATCCTCTTTCTTCCTGTTTTCCAACAAATTTTTGAAAATTTTTGGTAAGCACTCTTCAGTGTACTATTTTGTAGTTACCTTCTGACCCTTTTCCAATGGAATAGCAGCTACGATTTTAGATCGGGGTGAAGTGAACTCACATCATCACTTTTGGTGCTGATTTTTGTTGCTTAGATTTTGCGGATTGGTTTGCTCCTGTCGAGCCCCACTTACCATGCGCTATTGTTTTTTAGCAATCATTTCTTGTGCCAATCGTAGGTCTTCGGACGGACGGAAAAATGTCCGATCGGGAATATTCGGAGTCTTCGTTCCATAGGTAACTTGGCATTCATTGACTATTTGTATAGGCTGTAAATTACGCCGAACTCCGGAGGAAATCACTGATTGCGTTTTCTCGTCACTATTTTAGCCGATCGCTCTAAAATTTTAAAGGAGGGCATACAAAAGTATTTGCAAAGGATTTGGTATATTTAGATTTAACAAAAACAAATTGAAAGTCACCAACTTATCCCCTCGTAGCTTTGGGGCTTTTCAATAAAAATGTGACTAAAAAAGCTGATTTTCCGCGCAATGATCTTCGACTTGCTTCCTGTGTTTTGGTTTCATGCTGGAAGTGACGAAGTTCACCCTGAAAGACAGGAAATAATAAAGTATGTAATGTAAACTATTATTAAATTAGCGGTAGCCGATTGGTTAACATTGAGTACTACCATTCGGAAGGCTCGGGTTCAAATTTTCGACCAATATCCAAAAGCTAAAGAAAACGAATTTAAATAAAAAATTAAGTTGAATTTCCCAATTGCTGTCGCCTCTCGGCATTGAATGTCAACCCCTCCGAGTGTAAAAGCTCCACATAAGAAAACCATGAGCCCTGCGGAGGCGGCTTAGTATAAACTGTAGGTCCCTCCATTTGTTAGAAAAACATCAGGACACAAAACCACAAGTTGAAGGAGGAGCTCAGCCGGAAATTTCTTCAGCGGTTACAAAGCGCTAATTATATATGTATTATATGGTGGCAAAAAATACTTAAATACATAGATTTTAACACAAGAGAGTAAACAAATTTTATCAATTTTTGGAAAAGATTAAATTAATTAAATTTTCAAAAGATGCGAAACAACATTATACGATTAATTTCACATTAATTTTTTTTTATTACTACTCCCATAAGAAAGACCGCGTTTATAAAGAGGCGTTCGTTGTCCTCAATATTGTATTTTCGCTCTCTTAAAAATTAACCAAATTTATTGCACTCGCACTTGCATACACGTACATATGTACATATGTGAATGTGTACATTGCAACAAATTCTGTTCTAACTCTTCATTAATTTATTAAATAACGCAGCCCAACAAGGGAGATGGATGTCGTATGTAAATGTGTCTCATATTCAATTGATATTGATCTTTTAAATTACTTAATTGACATTAATTTAAAGACAAAAAAACACTCTTGATAGTATACATACATATATTAGGGTGGGAAAATTGATGCTAGAAAAAATCTATGCGGATGAATTGTGAATATATTCGAAGAATCATTAGACCTGCCGGAGTTTCTGGTGTCCCAACTACTAATTTTGGTTATATTATCTTGTACGAGCTGCTTCTCTATGACCAAACGCTCAATTCGGCCCTCAACTGCTAAGAGAATGGACCGCTTGAAGGCAGCACTCATCCAGAAGAGACCATCTTTGATCAACAGAGGCCGAATTCTGTTCCATCAGGACAACGCCCGACCACAAACGTCTTTGGTGACGCGCCAGAAGCTCCAGGAGCCCGGATGGAAGGTCCTAATGCACCCACCTTATCGTCCGGACGTGGCACCAAGTGATTACCATCTTTTCCTGTCCATGGCGAATGCGCTTAATGGTGAGGAGTTGGCCTCAAGAGAGGCCTTTTAAATTTGGCTCTCCGAGTTTTTGCCCATAGGGACGCAGCCTTCTACGAGAGGGGTATAATGAAGCTGGCATCTCGTTATCAACAAGTTTACGAACAAAACAACGCATATTTGACTTAAGTTGGACAAGTGTACACAAAGTGATCATATTTTGAAAAATCAATAAGAAAACCGAACGAACTTTTCACTTGACCTAATATTACGTTGGCTGTACTACATCAACTTGAACGATGCGCGACCTTTTCTCGAACATTTGTGTATGTAGTGACATGGTCAGTGAAATTATATGGATGAGGTGCTTATTACTTGCAATGGAATTTATGTGCTTAATATCATTGTCACCTTTTTATAATTTGTTGTCGAATCGCCAAGCTGCGAATTTTGTCGCTAACGATTAGGCGATTCACTAACTTATTTTTAAGCACTTCAATTTAACAACATGGGAATGAAAAAAACAAAACAAATTCGAAATAGCAATTATTTTTATGAAATGAGTTGCAATGGATTACAAAGTATAGCAACCACGCGCTCCTGGGTACTCAGCATTTACCGCCAAAATCTTGATGCAAGGATCACATATGTACATATATATAATCATATACATACACGTATATCACCATTTGCTCATTGATAGAAGGGTTTCCGTTGTGGTCTACATAGTCTTCTTCACCACTTCTGGGGCCCATGATTGGCACATGAGTGCAGTCGGTAACACCAATAGTGGCTCTAACAAATGATGAAGCAAATTTTGGGAAATTAGCTTACAGACGACTGTTGCATTTTATTAGAGTTAAAACTGAAAAACATTTAAAAGCCTTATTATTGCCTGTTTCTCTGTAGATAACACTGTTATTCTTTTGTCTTTCATTTGGCTGCGAAAATGAGAAAAGTTTTCTTCAACTTAATCTGGCGTTAATAAATATCGATTCCAAAACCCAGTTGCATTAAACTAGAAAGGGTCTTCCACTTTAAGAAAGGAAACTTCTATCCAATGATGAAGGGTACAATATCCCCCCATCTTTGGATAAAACGTACGCCAAATACTCAAAAGCCATTCTTGTTTATTATTTTATATATATAGCTTAGGTAATTTTCCGATCTACTTTACTTTACCTTAACCTTAATAAAATGTCTATGACAAAAACAAACATTCGACACTTAGTTAACGATTTGTCGAGTAGTTTAGTCGACCAAGCGATGACGAACCTCGTTAAATCAAGAGCAGCGAATACTCCAAGTTATAATACTATAGAGACTAGTAGTGGGATTACTGATCTAGTTTGCGTCTTGAGCCCTAATGGATTATATATTTTTCTCTATCCGCCCATGCCTTTAATTTAAAATGCGTCTCGAAGTTTTCCTTCAAGTGAATGAAAATGAATCTTGTTGAAAACAACAAGTTTTTTGTATTTGAAAGCGTATAACGAAACAAGTGTTTTTTTAAAAAAACCGATTAAATAAAATACAATAAAACAAAACATTCTCGTGGAACGATGTTTTTGCACCACAATTAACTCCGAAACTACTGAACCACTTTTGATCGAATTTCGTTGTTTACTGGGATCCGGTGCAGTTTAGAAGAGGTACGTGTATACTCTTGCTTGGTACTCATTGTGGAGTGAGAGTTTACTCTTCGGAAATGATGATGCAGCCGAATATATCACTCCACTAACCGCTTGATTACTGCACTCTTGTATGTATTAATGCATGTAAATCAGTGATCGGCGTTTCTTAGCACTACTGTGCGCTCGCAGTACATAATCTCCAATTAGCTTACTCTCAGAAGAATTTTATGATTTCAAATGCTTTTCATGACATGGAATTATTTTGTTAGACATTAAATATTTACACCGAGTATTCAATAAAGATACATTTTAAAATAAATTAAATAAATATATTTTTCAGGGCATCCTCTCTTCTCTTACTAACACACTCTCATTTATATATTTGCCGACCCCTGATGTAACCACAAACATACATGTGTGAGTGGAAGCAATAGCCAGAGCCTAAAGATATGCAAGGATTTACACATTTGTGACCTAGAAACCATTAGCCGCACTAACCGCTCTAAGGAGTATAAAAAATTAGGAGACTCTAGATTCGCTGAATTTTATAATTTGATTAATCATACTATTTTCACGTGTATTCAATAAAAACCATTAACTCCACTGCAATGTTTTTATTTCTTTATAGAATGGATTACGCTAATGCGGAAGATGAGGCGGGAAACCAAACTGGGATAGATAAAACAGAGTAAACATTTTTAAGCAAAATTCAACTATTTTACCTTTTCTAAATATTTTTAATTTCAGATTTTCTCCCTTATTTTTAATATTCGCTGGCGTTATAACTTTCATCATTATGATCGTAGGAATAATTGGTAATTCTCTTACCGTGGTTGCTTTATGTAAATGTCCAAAAGTCAGAAACGTTGCTGCGGTTTTTATAATAAGGTAACTTTTAAGACTATTTTGTTATATATAATTTTTATCTTGATGTTATTTGGCGACCTATTTTTTTATTTTAAATTGATTTTAAGTTGCAGACAGGCATACTCGTATAAGGACGAAGCAATGTTTTGTTGTAAACTTATGTGAAGATATTCTTCTTCTTCTTTGCTGTCGTAGACAGTACGCGTTAATAGCCGCGTTAACAGCATTGCGGCATTCATTACTTCTATTCGTTTTTTGGAGTCAATTGAGATACTAAGCCTTCCCCACCTGGGTTTCCACCGAAATGCTTCCACCGACGGGCACAACATCGAAAGCTTTCAAAGCTAAACTTTATGTCTTATACAGCTCATCGTTCTATGGACTGCGGTACTCGCCGTTGCCAATGCGCAAAGTACCATAAACCTTATGCAAAGTCTTTCTCCCAAAAACTTAAAAAGCCGATTCGTCATATATTGTCATTGTCCATGTCTCCGCACCATATAAAAGGACGGGAATGATTACAGACTTGTAGAGTTTGGTCTTCGTTCGTCGAGAGAGGACTTTACTTTTCAGTTTTCTGCTCAATCCAAAGTAGCAATTGTTGTCAAGAATAATTCCGCGTCAAATTTCCAGTCTGGTGTTAATACTGGATCCAAGAACATTTATTTCCAACTTGAAATTCGCCGAGCTCACGGCGCGACTTTTGAGGCCAGTGATGTCATATCGTCGGCGTACGTCAGTTGTTGTACACTCTTAGAGAAAATTGTACTTTATTTATAGGAATGTAGTACGAATTACTCTCTCAAACAATATATTTAAGAAGTCAGTGTCAACTCATCTGAAACCTGGTTTGGTGTCAAACAACTCGAAGATGTTCTTCCTGATAAGAAATTTATTATAAGTTTTGTGGGGTTATCAAATTCAGATATAGTGGCATAGCATTCGCCGTCGTATTTCAATAGTTAAAATGGCATAAGACTTATTCATAGTCGGGCAATGAAACATTTGTGCTCTCCATAAATTCAATATATTCCGACTTCTCCTGGTCCAACAAGAGTTTTTTTTTCGGTCTTGAAACCTTCTGTTATTCGCCGATTCCTTTCGTAGAATTTTCGAACATAACACTTGTCGGCCAGCCGATTAAGCTCTTCATACTCATGTCTTTCGGCTTCCTTTTTTTTGTTTATGCGTACTGCTTGCTTTCGGTATCTACTCCACCCTACTCGTGTACTGGTCGCTCGTAACGTTGTGCAGCTTGTTTTCTCTCCACTGACCAGCAATCCACATCGCACCAGCTGTTTTTTTTTTTTTTTTTGCCATTTCGGGAACCAATAGTCTCATTACGGGCACTGCTTGAAATGACCTCTCTCAGCTCCCTTATCGATTGGATATTACTGTTGAATACTAAATACTAAACTCAAATGTCCACTTTCTTTCAATTACTATTTTCTCTCTTCTCTCTTCTGCTCTTTGAATATGAAATCATCGGAGATGATGCATTTTATTGAATTTTTTCTTCAATACCTTCCGAAGAAGTCAAAAATCTATTGTAAACTCTTTTGTATTTAAATCCAACCAAGTGATTTCCTCAAGTCGTTATACCATGAATTCCTTCATTCTGAGGACTACTCGAGGATTTCTAATACAGAATAAATAATTTCAGAAAGTTCGATAAGTAAATCTCTAAACTACTATCAAACTTATTTTAACAAATACAAAATATCGCACTCTAAGCTTGCGTAAAAAGTGCAAAAATTCTTAATTGAAATTACTACAAGTAACATATACGTATCATGCCTTTTCAGCTTATGCATGGCCGATCTATTGTTTTGCGCTATAGTACTCCCATTCAGTGCATTGAGATTTATTGAAGGCACATGGACCCATGGACGATTCCTATGTAAAATAATACCATTTATTCAGTATGGAAACATTGGAGTTTCATTATTATGCATAGCAATGATAACAATCAACAGGTAAGGATTACAGTTCATAACAAACTATCAAACTTACTGAATTTATGCCTACAAAAGTATAAAAATAAAAAAATTAAATTAAATTATAAGCATTTTATAAAAGAATTAAACATTATCGAATCCACTATTCCAGCTACATTACATAAAGCTGGCTATGGTTGATTTGGAAAAAATTTTAATTTCTATACTTTAGTATTAAGGGAAAATTAGTTACTTTACATTCATAAATGCTGAAAAATCATGGCCTAAAAAGTCCCTGGCCGTACACATAGATGGTACTAATTTTATTGCATTCACCGCTTTTTCAGTTAATTATTCAGTTAACTACAATATTAAAATTAAAAGCCCAAAATTATTTTGAATGATCGGAAGGTGTAACGAAAGCGCCTCGTAAAAATCCATCGATCGTTCAGAGCCGGCTTGGTATAAAGAAATATCAAGACGCTCACTACGAATTGACGAGTCTGTTGTTGTTGTTGTTGTTGTTGTTGTTGTTGTTGTTGTTGTAACCGCAAATAATTCCCCTAACCCGCAGTCTGCCTACTGCTGCTATGATTCCGAGCAGTATTTGTCCATATTATGCCTAAAGAACCGGAAGTGGATAGCTACTAGTTAACCTTGTCCAAATCGACCGAAAGCACTAAAATCGGCCTTAAAGCGAAGGAAAAAACCATCAATTTCAAAGAAACGACCGCATATGCAGTCAAAACCATGGTTTTGGTCCATAACGACTATTATTTACTCGTAGAACTCAAGAAAATAATCGGCATTCACGAACTAAAATTGAAACTGAGACCCCGTTGGAGATTATGTGTCTCATGATAGAGATTACATTGAATGCAGTCTTTTATTGAAAAATCGCGTCCTCGTTGTTAGGCTTGTTCAGCACATTTTCACTGCTTCAGTGGCCTCAATAATATTGGGTTGCCCCAAAAAACCAGCGATTTTTCATACAGACAGCTGTGACTATTTAATTGTATTTTTTATTTTAACAGTTACAAGCTGTCACTTTTAGTTTGTTTCTTTGGCGTCAATTTTAAAATGGAGCCCACAAAAAGGCATTTTCGCCGTATTTTACTTTATTGTTTCCTTAAAGGAAAAAATACAGCATAAGTTGCTAAAAAGTTGCATAATTTGTGATAAGGCCTTAAAAGAAACACAGTGTCGAAGTTAGTTTGTCGAATTCCGTTCGGGAGATTTTTCACTTGGAACTTAAACGCAATGGATGACCCGATTTCGATGTAAATTAAAACTGGAGACGAAAAATTAATTGTTTACAATAACGTTAATCGAAAACGATCATGATACAAGCATGATGAAGCGCCACAAACCACTTCCAAGGTTCATATTCACTAAAAGAAGATTATTCTGTCAGTTTGGTGGGATTGGAAGGGTGTGGTATATTTTAAGCTGCTTCCAAGAAACCAAACGATTAATTCGGATGTTTACTGTGAACAACTGGGCAAATTGAATACATCCATCATTGTCCACAGGAACAATGCTAGACCGCACACATCTTTTGTCACTCGCCAAAAATTGAGAGAGCTTGGCTGGGAACTGTTAATGCATCCACCGTCAGACTACCATTTGTTCCGATCTTTGCCGAACTCATTAAATGGCAAAACTTTCGAAAAAGACGAAGCTATAAAATCGGACTTGGTTCAGTTTTTTTTTTGCAGATAAAAACCGGAAGTTCTATGAGCGTGAAATCATGATGTTGCCGGCAAGAGGGCGAAAGGTCACTCAACAAAATTTAAATTGCATATTTGATTAAAAATCATTATTAAATTAAATAAAATGTATTTACTTTCTTTTAAAAAATCGGCGGTTTGGGCAACCCAATAGAACGACAGCAATTTATTATTTCTTTGGTTTCGCGCCCGTCGGAGTAAATCTTTCTGCACCTGACATTTGTAGCGGGGTACCCGCCTCAAGTTCGCAGTCAAAGTTGGAACAATCACTAGCACTTGCATATTTAATAGAATGTTATATGCATTAATAATATACATAAATAAAAATATGCATTGCAAGAAAACAAAGCCAATTTCATAAATAGCGGACACTGTAATGAACATATTGCACATGTATTCTGAATAAAAATTTTTTTAATTTTGGTACTAATTTCAGTAATTATCTTATTTTATTTCAAAGGTACATAATGATCGCCCATCATGCCTCGTATGCGAAAATTTACAGAAAACATTGGATTGCTGCTATGATTATTTTTTGTTGGATGTTTTCGTACGGCATGCAGCTGCCAACTTTACTAGGAGTATGGGGAAAATTTGATTACGACCAAAAGTTAGAAACATGTTCCATTATGAATGATAGCCATGGGCGTAGCAGCAAAACTACACTTTTTATCACTGCATTCCTTATACCAGCCATTGTAATAATCGCTTGTTACACAAAAATATTTTGGGTTGTACGTCAATCAGAGCTTCGACTTAAAGTACATTCCACTCAGCAAAACTCGATTCCAAATAATTTAAGATCTGTACAGGCGCCGACGAGCGCGGTTGTGGAAGCTGAACAGAATAGAGTATCATCTAATATTGCTTCAGATAGTAGTATATCTACTGATACGAAACAGGATGTCATAAAAAAACCGACTCGCATTAAGGATCAACGAGAAATGCGAGCTAGGCGAAATGAGTGGAGGATAACTAAAATGGTTTTGGCCATATTTTTGTCCTTCGTTATCTGCTATCTGCCAATAACACTCGCCAAAGTAGCCGACAAAAATGTGGAGCATCCGAATTTCCATATTTTCAGTTATATTATGCTTTATTTGTCCGCATGTATAAATCCAATAATTTATGTTATTATGAACAAGCAATATAGAAAGGCTTACAAGACAGTAATTTTGTGTGAGCCCGCAAAGTTATTGAAACTCGGAAAAGCGACTATTGGAGGAAGCAGCGCAGCAGGTAAATAGTCTTTTTTCATGTTATAATTAATGAACGATGTAACTAAGGCACTATATCGTTTAGAGAAATGGAAAGATACCGGATTGAGCAACAACCACAGTCGCACAATGGTCTCACAAATATCTCTGGGAGAGCAACAAATGTGCAACTCGAGCAATATGCACCAACAGCAACAGTGCATCTCCATGGACAACAGAACATTCACAAAGGCCACATTGGAAGATGTGCATACGAAAGTGGAGGAGAGTGCAGTTATCAAAAGCAATCAAAAACTTTCTCCCATCCCTCCATACGTAACAGCAGCGTGCCAGTCACCCAACCCTTCCGTTTACAAACAAAAAACGCCGAGCAAAGATCCCAATCGATTAGTCACACTCGGGGACGACATAATCTTGGAGGAAGAGGAGGAAACTGCAGCTCCGCCTCAACAGGAACCGTCAACTTCCAAAATAGAGAAGGCAGGTGCCTTGAAGAAAGTCCCATATTATGGTCAAAATATAAATGTCACTCCAGATAATGAAGAAGACAAGCTCACAGATAAGCCAAAAATTTAAAAGACTTTCACTGTTATTATAACAAACAAAAATATTTTTGTACAATAGATTAACTTATTATATATGTATAAATATGATTAAGGAGTTAATTAAAACTAATTAACAAAAAATTTGATTTGAAAATCAGGATTTTAGATAGATTATACGCAATTGTTAAAATATGCTTGTACCTGTCAAAAAAAAAAGAAAAATATTGAGGGTATTCGTGTAGGCTAGGAAATGCAGGATATCCGGGAAATGGTACAAAAACAAAACACATGCGAAAAATATGCTACAAAAAGAAAAATACCCTATACCTAAACCTATGCATATTTATTTTCAACAGTTTGACGAATAGAAAAGTAACCCTGTGTCAGTTACTAGTTGTTTGACACATTTCCTAGACTAAGCTAATAACGCTATTATGATTTTTAAACAGTTTCCAAAATCAAGTTCTTGATCACATTTGTTTGAGTTTTGCACTGAAGCATCTGCAAGCTGGAAAAATAGATTTAAAAATTTTATGTTTCGAATATTTCCCGTATGTCTTAAAACTGATGGATTTTCGTATGATTTCCCACCCTTTTTGTAAAAATTTCTATTTTTTGTTGAATTTAAAATGGTGCTTATTATCCTTATTTAAAAGTCAAATTCAATTAAGATTTGTTTAATAATTAATAGTGCACATATGCGAGTATATGATTTTACTAAGAATTAACATTTTTAAATAATATACATATAACATTCCACAAACCATTCTGATGGAATACAATAAAGACAATTTTTACCTTACACAAACCGAGTACCGATATTAATTATGCCTTAAAAGTAATATCTTCACTTTTCTACTATGCACAAAAATTAATAAATATTAACATTAATACTAAGAACGTTGCAATTTTTCATACATCGTTATGTTGTTAATATGAAATCAAATTGGGAGGAACATTTACGTCTAAAATTAGTATAAAATATGTATTGCGAAAATACACAAAAACTTTGAGTATGGTTATTTTTCAATTAAGGAATATACATATAATGTAGAATAACTAATATAGTTAGATTGGTGCCATGAAATAACCGTTAAGGACCGAAACTTGTTATTTATATTTAATCAATACTTTTAGGTACCAATATTAATATTATTTATTTGCATAATCATAACTTCTCATTATCAAGTATTACTTTTTTTATAGACGCTTAGAGAGCAACCGAATATTATGTAGTAAATATTATACATATATACAATGCATACATATATTACACGATTATTTTATATTCTAAGTTAAACAAATCATTTGTAGGCAGATATGTTTATAAATTTAATAAATTTTTAAATTACTGTAACTTCGTGGCATAAACGATTCATTATATATATCCATTGGTGAATTCATGAAGGTAAGAGCAGGAGAACAAATACATACCGTATAATTTTTCCTTCTGCGTAGCTAATAGAAACAAATAAATAGTGCAAACAAAATAAGGTTTTTCAGAAAGTGCGACAAAAAATTAGGGCATCGCAGCTAAACCAGTTAGAGTAAAGACTCTCTAATGCAGTGCTGTCCAAACTTTTTTTCGGCGTGGCCTCAGAAGTGACCAACAGATCTATTGAATGGCCCCTTTTTTTCAAAACCTAAGGAAAACAGTGAAAACAAGTCGAAATTTCGTTTTTGCACTTATTTTCGATTGGTAATGCGACATATGACATTTTTCTATTTTCTATGATTTAAAATTAACCGAAGCAATTATTGTTTATTTAAGATTAATGCGACGCATGATACGCTTCTTTTTTCTGTCAATTTATGAAAGTCTGGCTTCGATTGGATTAGTTCGCAATGAAGTTCGGATTCCAAATTTTTTTGCGATATTGCATTGCGGTATTTATTTTTACGTCGCGGTAGACCTGAGGATGATGCTTCACAAACGTATGTGGTCTTCGGTACAATGTCTTTCAATGCCAAGAAATTATATTCAGATAATAATCGCCTCCGCAATTCATCGCCCGTTTTATTTGGCAAGCCACTTTCTTTATTTATCAACGAAATATCGAATTCCAAATGAGTTTTTTTTTTTGAGTCTTTTTTGCGTCACAAACGAAATTTGAATGCCAACTCAAATTCTTCATTTTATTGATTTGTGTCTAACAGTGGGAAGAAAGTGAAAACATTTTCATTATTTTGGGTTTTAAATGCGACCAATTTCAACTTGAATTCTTGAATGTCTTTTGCAAAGTACCAAATAAATTTATTCTCGTTCAGAATTTGGAAATAACTAGAACCATTATTTGGAAAATATTTGAGTCTTCTTGTTGGCCACAAGTAGCCAAGTGACTACTAGTTTGGACAGGACTGCTCTAATGTTTACTTTAGTTTTGTATATCCAGCGTCACTCAACTTACTCCAAAATGACAGCGAAGTCGGCAAAGCAATAACCAAATAGCCCAACAAAGAAAGAAAACAACAAACGAACACACAACAGAAATATTTTCCGTAAGATGTAACGAATGATAAAAATAAAAAACCTACAAAACCCTCAAGTCAAGTTGTCAAATATCTCCCTTCCGCTTTTTTGCCCTTCATTCAATGCTTAATAAAAAGTGTTACAGTGATCGGATTTGGTAAAATATGCGCCGTTTTGTTCGATGATCTGTTTCCATCTAGACGGCAACTTCATAATACCTTCCTCGTAGAAGCCCCCCTCCTTATTTGCGAAGAATTCGGACAGCCACTTTTCACTAGCCTCTTTTGAATTCAACTTCACACCACCAAGGGCATTCGCCATGGACAGGAACAGGTGGTAATCACTTGGCGCTACGTCCGGGCTATATGGTGGATGCGATAAAACCTCCCATCCGAGCTCCCGCAGCTTCTGACGAGTCATCAACGAAGTGTGTGGTATGGTGTTGTCCTAATCCCTTCCTGTTGGCCAATTCTGGACGCTTCTGGTCGATCGCCTGCTTCAAGCGGTCCAGTTGTTCACAGTAGATGGTAGAATTAAGCGTCTGGCTATATGGGAGCAGCTCATAGTGGATGATTCCCTTCCAATCCCACCAAGCACACAGCAAAACCTTCCTGGCCGTCAGTCCCGGCTTGGCCACTGTTTGGGACGATTCACCGGCCTTCGACCACGACTGTTTTCGCTTGATATTGTCGTATGTGATCCATTTTTCGTCGCCAGTCACCATCCGCTTCAAGAATGGGTCGAGTTCGTTCCGTTTCAGCAGCATATCGCAGGCGTTGATTCGGACCAAAAGGTTTTTTTTCAAATTATGCGGCATCCAAACATCAAACTTTTTTTTGTATCCAGCCTTCTGCAGATGGTTCAAAATGGTTTGGTGACTAACTCCCATCTCCTGGGCGATGTCACGAGATGCCATATGCCGGTCTAACTCGATGTATTCCATGATTTGATCGGTATTTGTCGTCACAGGTCTTCCGCCGGCTGGCTTATCCATGGTGTCGTTTTCACCGGCTCTGAATCGTCGAAACCATTCCTCCGCGGTTCGAAGTGATAGAGTACCATCCCCCAAAACACCATTAATCTCACGGAACGTTTCTCTAGCGGATTTGCCTTTAACGAAGGAAAACTTTAAAAATGCTCGAATTTCGGAGTTAGTGTCAAGACCTTTCAAATTATGTATAGTGTTGCCAGATACGAGCTCTGTAGCGCTTTGTAGGAAGGGAGATATTTGACAACCTTTAAAAAGTCGAAGCAACTCATACATACATACATATATTTTACATGAGCTTAAATTTCATTAGAATAACGGATAACTTCATACAAAGCGAATTATAATAAAAGGAATACAAAACAAGTAAATAGACAAAGAATACAAAATAAAGCATTCACAATAGCATTTACACCATAGGGTGTCGTTCTTCCACAATTTCAATTGAAGAAAATTTCATGAAAATTGCTTAACATCGAGTAATAACAACTACCCCTCATATCAACTGTAGAGCTCAACTAGTGTAACACAATCAAGTCGAGTGAAACATAAGCAGCTGTTGAAGAAGCAGTTCTTCATATTAAATCTGTCATGTCGAGTGCTAAGTATTGCGAACTGTCATTCTAAGGGGGTTGAGCCTGGTTCAACCGACATACAAAATTATAGAAAATTAATTTTATATTTGCGGTCTACCCTCGCAAGGAATGTCAAGCTTTCCGAGTGTATTTCTGACATAAAAGTCCGTTGGCAATTCGGAGGCGGCTTAGAATACGCTCCATTTGACAGAAAACATCAAAAGGAATACACAGTGTGTTGACGTTGGCTTTACTCTTTCAGGAGTTTCGAAACGAAACGATTTCATTCCGATTTATTAATTCTGAAGACTGGGTTTACATAGTCCGAGTTTGCACGGGGATACTTTTTATCGACAAAATACTCGTTTGTAGGGGACGGGCACCTTGTCGCTGTGTTCGTTCGACACGCTTGGTGCTTCTATTCGTCTCTGTAGATTTTGACATTCTCTTATTAATTTTTTTCTCATTTCGAACTGTTGCATATATTTATCTAATTATTAATGAATATTTCAGATAATGTAGTTTCCAGATAAAGTTGCATAATGCTAGAAATATTAGAGCAGAGAACGTACGCTACGCTCAGTTATGTTATGCATGAATAGCAAACTCTGTTAGTTTCTGGCGGACTGTGGTGAAATGCATCCATCGTAAATTGGCAGCTTTTGACAGTTTACACGCTGGTCCGCAATTGAACCTTCTCGTTGTATTTGCGTCCTCTGATTAGAGTGTTTTAGAAAAGCCACTAAAATTGACAATGATGATAGTCAAAAGGATGAGATATGTAATTATTGTAGATTACACTTTTGGTTAAAGATGATGTTTAATCGACTGTAAAACTATATATAAGAAATAGAAACATAAGAGCTGTGTCTTCCCTTACATACACATAGCATTTTTATTTCAGAAATATTGAAAAGCGTGAAACAAACGAAAAATTGCGAGTGTGAAATAAAGCGGAATAGAAAAAAAATGAAGAAGAAACAAATGTCGAAAAAATTGCTTTGAGAAAGTGTCTCTGTGTGAACGTGAAGAGCAACACAAAAGGAAAATTACAAAAATAAAGCGACAAAAAGTCTCTTCATGTAAACTCAGTCATAACTCAGCGACACGGTACGCTGCCCACTTCGCTATAAGCGAGTGTTCGTCGACAAAATAATAAAAACAGCGTGTCCGAGCCGATATT